TGGTTGCTCAGTGCTGGTTGGGTGAAGTGGAGGGGAGGGGTACCCAGGACCGGTTCAGATTTCAATCGTTGCTGACAATCAGCCGAAGAAGAGAATAGAACTCAGGTCACCGGGTTCATAGTCTCGTGCACTAGCCACTCCGCCACGACTCCCCATCATCAACTTCTGATCAATAGACTGTCGAATAAGAGCATCCTCAAGCCATCGCCGTCCGCCAAATGACAACAAAAACAAGCAGCAGCGATCTTGGCAAGCCGGTTAATAACTCTCCGACGTCTCTTTGACGTCGGAGAGGCTCAACCGCGTGTCGTTGGGCACAATGTCCAGCGGTTCGCTCAACGTGCTGGGGAGCTTTTTCAAGGAACTCGGGTGCCAAACAAAAACGCTCCATTGCTCGTGGAGCGGGATGATATGCATCATGATCCACGTGTGATTTTGGATTAGGCCATGTGTCCTTTCTCAAGTCGTGCGTAGTGCAGAACGACACGAGGAACAACTCGAAGAAAACGTACCGGAAAGCAACACAGAACAACCGCGGAAGCCGACGCAGTGTTACTAAACTCGTTCAAGTTTTATTGCCGTTCAAATTTGGCCAATTCACAATTGCCAAGGATGTTTTACCCGCTGGGGTAGGAAGGAAAAAAAACAACAAACGTGCGCGGTGCATTTACCGACTAAGGTCGTCGACAGGGCAATGTGCCTCCTCGCGTGAACACTACCCAATGCCCTGCCAGCAGCGCGGACAGCGGCGCAGCCCAGCAACCTCGCTGCCCAGGACATCGTCGCACCTTAAACTGCAAAAAGGCATCACATCACCGCTTTGGCCACGGCCACGTTCACGGGCTCTCGGTTTTTATTCATGGCGAGCGTATTGATCCACAAGTGGTGGACCGCTAGAAGCAGTGACAGCAAAGCCAGCTAGTGCGAGGTGTACGTGGACTCGGGGTGGAATAATTCACACACACCCCCCCATCCCCACCACCCCCTGGCGCTCACACCCCCCCCCCCCCCCCTGCCCAGGGATTGCATTGCCACGATTAGATTCTAGAATGCTTAATTTTTTTTTACATTGTGCTACATGGCAGCCCTTGTCAATCCACTGCTGGATGAAGGTCTCCCCATGCTGTGTAAGCCGTGGGGGTTGTTTTCCCACCCTAATCAGCGTGGGTTTGTAAAAAGGGTCACAGGACAGGGTCAGATATCGCTCGTCACCGATGTCAGCCGTGAACGGAAATTTAACTCTGGTCGCGTGGTTCATAATGCAGTGTGCTAAGCACTATCACACCGTTCCACCCCCATACATGTACTGATTTTAAACATTTCATTCAATGCACGTGTGCAAAGCTTAGGAATCGAAGATCCATTGACGTATCATCATTAGACCTCCCATGTGTGCCTAACAGTAACATACACAACATCTACATTTAAACGAACAAGTGTTAAAATGTTTTACGGTCATGTTATTTTTCCAAACAAGACTTCATTATTACTACCAGGAATACAGTGCACTTGACCGACGCATTCTTAAGAATGTGTCATTCTTAAGAATGTGTCAGTGTGTGATGATGAACTTGATCACATGGACTAGTGAAAGCGAGCATGGATTTTTTTTTTAAACCACATGACCATGGCAATATTCATGTTCTCAAAGCACAGTTCTGAGCGTATTTGGCACGAAGACTTTTCAGTTGTGTTTTATATGTTGGCCTCAGTATTTTTGCATTCCTGTTTTCCCAAAACACCCCCGATGCTGCACGGTATATTTAACGATGCCCATTTTATGTGTGGGGTGGAATGGTGGCAGTGATTCAACGCAGGTGCCCGATTAACCCAGAAAACCAGGTTCAATTCCCAGCCACGGTGAATCTCAGTGGGAATTCCTATGTGAATCAGTCCCTCTCCTTCATCAGCTCGCAAATGACCGAGTGTCGTGAATTATGGTCAAACCATTCCCACAAAGCATGGGGATATTGTCATACAATAGAGGATTTTAAAAGGGCTGTACATTATTAATTTTCATAAAAACTATTTTGCATGAGGCATTTTCTTTTCCTCATGAAATAAACCCATCCATAAAATTTGATGGTGTAAAAAAAATTAAATTGCCAAAAATATTTGGCACGGTCAAATCTTTTAATGTTAACATTTTAATGTTAGGCTTTTTTGATAATGTATTTCGGAACCAGTGAATGAGAGGTGATTTTTTTTTGTATCCATACAAGTGGAACAATTGCTCCTACTTTTACTTGGTTGGACATGGCGAAAGTCTTCAATTTCCCCAGTAGATGGCAAACGGTGACCTCGTAACCAGTGTAGCTCAAACACGAGATCGAGTTATGCAATGAGGCAAAGCTCATTTCACGTGAGCTGTACACACTTGAGTGGAGACTCTCAGTCCAAACAATCTCTAAATAATAAATTCTCACAATTTGCAAAGTGCTCCTGCATGCATAGATATGGGCTACCCAGCAGCATTTAACTGTTCACTAAACACAGCATTTGCCTGCTTCAATAAATTCTGCTGGGAACACATTGGTCCTGGAAGGCTAATGGGCATAGAGACGAGAAAACCTTCGTTTAAATTTGAAATGGTGCCTAATGATAACTGTATAACACACCGCTCACAATTAATGATTTAATGGTCAGTGCACACGTGAAAACATCTCTGCCAATGGCAACGTATGAGGTCGTCAAGCGCCAGCAGAATGAGCGCCGATTATTGGAAAGCCAAGGGTGGGGATTTTGCCACATGAATGTGCGATTTTGTCTTTTTTTGCATTCTCAGAGAAATATCGGCATTGGTAAGTGAGCAAGTTTTGTTCACGACCCAACTTATGAAGCCATTGATATGTTTACGCGTTTTATTTGCAATTATTATACCGTTTTTACCTCCGATTAGCACGGATGGCTACGTACGGTGCAAAACAAGCTCAACAAAACCTTTACTGCAGCCTTGCATCCCTTTGATTTTCACTCGTGAAAAATGTACAATGTTAATACATACAGACGGTTTGATGAAACAAAGTCGCTGTATTCACGTGCCCATGCTTAATTTGTGTTTTCGATTATTTACCTTCTTACAAAAATCTGGCCGCGTCTCGCACCCCCCAGGGGGTGCGTGATGCTCCCCGGGTTAACAAGAAGAACCACTGCTTTAGAGTATTTGCTTTTGTGAGCCAGGTAAATCGGTTCTTACTTGGTTATACGTAAATAAATACAGTCTGTCATTGTTGCCGATTGTAAAAATTAATAATTAGGCAAGCGTCTGCCACCACAAATGAAATAATGCGTTTGTCCATCAGCCGATCGGCGTTTAAAGCCGATGTCTTGCGGCAAAACATTTACTCGATCAGACAAATGTTGCCTGTGTTGAACTTCTTTCCCACCGTACGTAGCAGCCAACCGTGCTCATTGGAGGTGCGAATCAAGGCATGTTAGCTGCCCCTGAGTAGCGATATTCGGGAGCACTTTGAAAAGCGTAGGGATTAATTGAGATAATATCTGGGCTAAGTGTCTCTCCACTGAAGTGTGTGCAGCTCATTTAAGACTAGTCCTGTTCCCCATTGCATAACTCGATTGCACTTGAGTAATACAGCTATGTTAAGTCAGTGCAATTATGCATTCATATTAAATGTGTACCTGCTTTGTAGCAGCAACCTATGGCCTCACGTTAAAGTCACGTTGCCTTAAAGAGCTCTCAGCGGGTTATAAAGAATATACAGTATCTCTATTAAGTGATATTGTCATCTGCGGGGGATGGGAGAACACCGAGTGGACACGATGTTTTGAGTTTGGAGATGACCGTAAACGTAAACGTTTTAAGAGAGAGGGGCTGAGATCGGAAAGCACAGGGCCACGAAGTGGGAGGCTGGAATTTGGTGGTACAGCACCCTGGAAAAGCGAGCAGAAGAGACGGGGCTTGAGAGCTGACGAGAAGACGCGAACGCATGGGGCAGGCAGGTGTTGGTCCAAATCATTGCGCGTGGACGTAAAAAACAAATGTAGCGGGGCCGTCTCGAACGGCAACAAGCGAGAACGGTCGCGGGTTCGAAATGACCACCGGTGACCAACTCAAAACCTTTATACATCGCATGCCCACTGTAGTAAATGTGTCAGTCGTCCTTCCCCCGCGTAACTCCGATCAGCACGGGTGGCCACGCACGGTGCGAGAGACGTTCAACACAACAACAACCAAGTGGCGGTGACGCCACCGCGGCGCTTGTGCCAGGCTAGGTGCACGTTGAGGCCACGTGAAGTGTCGAACGCCCGCCGTCGGCGGGAGGTCGCGGGGCAGACCCAGGTGCCACATGGGTCGACCAACTGAGATGGCTGGCCCATGCACCCATCCAGCTGTGCCCCCTACCGTGCCAATGTGCAATGCTGCATTACACACGCGCGCGTGTGTTTGGATCCCGTTGGCCAAAGCGTTGCCGCGTTCACTTGGCGAGCGATGGGCGGACCCGCTTCTTAAGCGGAAGCAGACGGCGCGAGCGCGCGGGGGGAGGGAGGGAGGGAGGAGGGGGGTAACGTGGGGTTACCTGTGAACGTGTATTGCGTCGCGACCACCAGCAACACGAAGAGCAGCAACACGACGGGAGCGATTGCACCCAGCGCCTGCGACTCCCAATCGGCGCACATGGCCACCACGTGGGGCGTCGGCGGAAGGTGGCGGAGGGCGGATGTGACGCGCCGACCGGATGTCACGAACAGCTGCTGATCGCGCATCGTCACCACGTGCGTGGTAAAGGGGGGACAGGCCACGTGCGTGGTAAAGGGGGGACAGGCCACGTGCGTGGTAGAGGGGGGACAGGCCACGTGCGTGGTAGTGGGGGGACAGTCCACGTGCGTGGTAGAGGGGGGGGACAGGCCACGTGCGTGGTAGAGGGGGGGGACAGGCCACGTGCGGGGTAGAGGGGGGGGACAGGCCACGTGCGTGGTATAGGGGGGACAGGCCACGTGCGTGGTATAGGGGGGACAGGCCACGTGCGTGGTATAGGGGGGACAGGCCACGTGCGTGGTAGTGGGGGGACAGGCCACGTGCGTGGTAGAGGGGGGACAGGCCACGTGCGTGGTAGAGGGGGGACAGGCCACGTGCGTGGTAGAGGGGGGACAGGCCACGTGCGTGACAAGCGGACGGATCGGAGACAGCGCGGCGTGGTGCATCGATGCCAAGTCGTCTCGGTCAGTCGACCACCCCTCCCCCCCCCTGTAGGCACCTTGCTGCGCCTGTTCCCGTGACCTCCTTTGCCAGCGCGGCCCTTCGACTCCTCACGTGGCCTCAAAAGTGCACCCAGCATGGCACAAGCGCCGTGGTGACGTCACCGCCACTTGGTGCGCGGCTGTTCTAAATACATGTATTTTATTTTTTGAACGGCGCTGAATGGGTTGTTATGGTGGCCTAACCCTGCTGAATTTAAAGTCACGCAGGACAGCGCTGACGTTTCTGGACCACTGGTGGAAATTCCACATTCCTATAATGGGAGTCAGATATTTCTCCACGGTGCGCCGCGTTGAGTGATGTGGGTTCTCTCGAAGTGGCACTTTATTTATAGACTCCGGAGAGATGATTCTTGTCATGACAGTGAGCTGAGTGGACGTCTGACCGCACGGGCTGTCATTTTGAAGGTCGTCTGGATACATTTTTTCTGTTATTTATGGAATAAGTCAATCGTTTGGCACGTACTATTGCACCATGTTACATACGTATTATTGCCGAGACATTGTCTGCCTCGCCTGGTATACAGGAGGTCGTGGGTTCGATCCCAACCCTGACACCTGTACATTCGGAGTTTGCATGTCTATCTCCCCGTGGTCATGTGGATTTTTAAAAACATGCCTTTAGAGGATTTAGCTGCTCGAACTTTATACACGATAAGCCACTTCGTTGAGCCATCATTTGTGGCTAGGTCGCTTCTTAAAAAATAACTGTTATAGCTCGGTGGGACCTTACCTGGTAAAATCAAAAATAGTTTTTATCACCATGGATGATTAAAGTCAGTGATTTCCTGCTTAAATGAGCATACAGACAGACGGTGCTTATATTCTGTTTACAGCCCTGAGCCAGTGGTGGAAATTCCACATTGCTATGCTGGGGGCGAGACTTATCCTTAGGGGCCGTCCATAAATTACGTCACGCGATTTTGGCCGATTTTTGACCCCCCCTCCCGCCCTCGTCACACGGCGTCACAAAAAGTCAGACCCCCCTCAAATATGACGTCACAAAGCTCTGCCCCCCCCCCCAAACCATATTTCCATTTTTTAAATAAAACATGCTTCAAATCACTTTAAACTACAGTATTGTCAATGTAGTGCGTATTTAATGTGGCACTGCACTCTGATGTTGGAGAAAACACGCATTAAAATGGAATCTTTGGAAAGCTGAAATTTAGCATAAAATTCACTTGCAAATATTCAACGTCTAACTAAAACTGCAGATGTTCAGAATATTATATTGAAATTCAAGAGCCGAATGGCTCACAGGGCTATACCAAAATAAACTGAAACTCTAATAATTATAAAATATTAAAAGTAATTATAACTATTAAAAAAATACTTTAAACTTTGTAGTAGAACGAAGGAAAATGGAGAGTACATTTCTAACAATCACATTCATTTCACAGAATTAAAAGCCCTGGTAGAATCATGAGAATCAAAATGTTTAATAATCATTCAAAAAAATTACAAAATGTATGCTACTCCATTCTCCCATGGAGAAGCAAAATGCTCCTTCACGGAATAAATAAAAGGTGACCTTAGTAAATTTATATAATCAAATAGTTAATAATGAAAATTAATCAAAATTAGTGTTGTTATAACGATTCTATTTAATTAATATTTATTTAAAGTTGTGCATTTTGATGTGACGTCACATTTCTCGAACCTCCCCCCCTCGTCACACATCGTCACAAATGTCTGACCCCCCTCCCCCCCCCTTGGTGTATGACGTCATTTATGGACGGCCCCTTAGGCCATCATTGCTGATTTCACAAAATGGTACCCATTTGATCGACCGTGGAGAGATGATGGATTGAGTTAAATAACCACCTACGAGGATATGAACTTGCAAGCCGCTCGTTCTGCTGCTGAGCCGTCTACACCGCTGAGCCACATGTCAACAGAAACGTGGACAAGTTGGTTGATATACCATGCCCCAGTAAAAAAAAACTCAATGATGATACCCACAATTACCCAGATCTGTAAGGTCTCTGAATTTGAGCATCCAAAATCATCGAACTACCCAGGTGAGTGGCTATTTACAAATGAGCTCATAGTGACAGGTGAGAAACAACATGGGTAGGTGAGTGTAATTGGAAGTTGAGTTCCTAAAGAATCCCTGCTGGGAGTTGTTCCCAATAACAGCTGCTAGGCTATTCACAGATGAGTGGGTATTGACAGATGAGAGCCATTAATATATATAGAGATCCCATATATACAAGACTCCGTGTGAAACACGTGCCGATATTTAATCTGCCGTAGCATTGCATTTGTATGCGATGACAGATTATGGTGCAGGTTTATAGATCGCATGCTTTGTGTGGCTGTGCTGCTGAATATGGCAGTGATCATTAATTTATTTTGGACAATAACGTGATTACAGGGGCAAAATCGATGTCTTCCTCATTAATATTTCATGCATTGTCTCGTGCATAAAATACAAGTTGGATTCATATTACGTCTAAATGCGACCACATGCTCAATGCGTGGCACAGAAACAGTGGGTATATTTAATTAAATATATAAAGAGAAGGCAGTTAGTCATAGACAGAGGATAAGATAATGGTCTAGTTTATTGCTTGAACAGAAGCAGGGAGTCGACCATGCGGATGACCTACAGGGCATCTGTGAAAATATCTTCAGAGCTCATCAGATTCCTCCAGTGTACATAAATATTGTGATTCTGACTGGGAAGGCAGTTTCAGATGATGGGGTGAGCAGAGGATAATTTTGAGTCCACCAGCCAATGAGTTTTTCCGACCAGCAATGCATTACAGTGTTTGTTCAGAAACCCAAACTCTGTACTGGTTTTGATCTCCCGGGTCTCATCAGCAGCCTGTTTACCACGCGGTCCGACAGCTATTGTCAGGGTCGGGATCAGTGGCTGCTTGCCAACTCTCCCAGTTTAACCTTGCATTACAGCCATAACACCAATTAAACCTCTTCAGTTAATTGAACAAACTTCAGCCTCGTAACCTAGTTCAAAGTGTGAACTGTGAATCCTTTAATTGGTGTGAAGCTTCTGGCCTTTTTCTTTGCTGAAAGAATTCATCAAGGTGAAAATTTATCACATCAGGGGCAGTGTTATTCCTCTTCCTACGAATTACTTTATTTTGCCCTATATTCACGTTTAAGTATTTTCATCCACGCCTTTACCACACGTCCATCTCCTTCGCACTCAGCCATGAGCAGTGCGTCCCCACACCACCTCCAAAAAATACAAAAATACCTCCATTCGAAGACCCCCATGAATGCACATTCCCCCCTCCCCCCGCCCTATGCAGCATCTTGAGATGCGGTCACATTTAGACAATTCATAAATCCAAATTGTCTTCTGTGGTAACCCCTGACCCCTATTAGTATAATTGGGTTATTTTGTGGCAAATTTCTGCTCCCGTGACTAATGAGCCGGATGGACTGGGCTGCCGTCTTGAGATCTACTAATGAAGTATATTCATCGTGGAGAAATTCCCTGCGTGCGCTCATAGTTGCAGGGCCCTGCTTCGTCTTCACCGTTTGCTTCTCGGGCATGCGGAAATGAAGGTGCCGTGCGCGTGTGTGTGTGTGTGTGTACCCCGCTGGTAGTGTAGTGGTTTTCGCGCTGCGCTACGAACCCTGCGACCCGAGTTCGATTCCCGCTCACGGCCAACACCAGTGACGATTATCTGAACTGGTCCTAGGCCTCCCCTAGGTCGACTCAGCCTCAAATGAGTACTTGGTGTGAACTGTTAGGCTATACGGGGGATCTTTGTCTTTATGTCCCCCGCTATGTGCGTTGGCAGTAGCAACCCCGGCAGCTCAGTATTAATGGGTCACGTTTGCATGTTTGTGTCATTGGCCTAGTTGGGGTGATGCGGTCCTGTTATTGTGTTTTTACCTTTTGCCAGATCCTGCAGATTGTGCAACGTTGATTCACAACTGAAATGTCAAGGTCTGCTCTTCCGGTCTACTAACCATCTGGTGTTATGTCTCACCGACCTCTGGGTTCCTCTCCGATGCCTGTCTAGAACCCTGCCCTCCTCCAATCTGCACACGTGCATCACCCATTGCAAACGTCTTCCTCTCATTAAATCTACAATAATTTATTTGCGCGTTGTATTCACAATTTCCTTATTATCCTGACCATATTCTTCTGTGAATTTCCTGGAATCTTGCACATGCTCTTACATTTGAAGACCAGAGGCATATTTTTGCTTGCTTTTGTTAAATCCATCTAAGCTATCTGGCTGGTATATTGACACAGACATTACTCCTGCCTCTATATCAACACTGAAGTTGAACTATCACCTTACCAAAATGGTTTATGTAGTCCATAAAAGCCCACAATGTTAATACATCTCTCATTACAATTCCCTGTGTTTTGAAAATTATTTTTATCCACATAAATCACACTCTGCGGATGTTGGATAGCTTTTTAAAATTGTACACTCACCTCTGTGTTTTTGTATTTTCATTCATTTCAGCTGAAAATTTTCCCGGCCATCAAACAAAGAATCCTGCAACACTTACGAATTGTCACCGACACCACCACCATCACCTATAACAATGAAGCGGATCGTGAAACCGATCCAGACCTGGATCAGCATCGCCCCACGCACACTGCAGGGCACAGCGCCGTGCCCTGGCTGGCACCGGCCGTCACTAAACAATTTAGACCCCCGCAGAAGTTTTCCAGACGGTCCGTCCATCATTCCCCTGGCGGCGGGGTCCATTGAAAGCGCAGGCAGTGGCACGTCGTTTCAGAGGCCGTGCCAAGAACGATCTCGGGCCAGCCTGCGGTGTCGGGGTCAGGCAGCCCGGCAAAGGAGCGGGGCACGACCCGGAACATCGGGGCACGGCGGCCTCGCCGGGCTGAGGCGGTCCTCGCCTCCGCGAGACTTCTCGTCCTGGATTTGGTCTCCGCGCGCCGGCCGTCCTGTGCCCCCCATCGAGAGTGAAATGACGCGGGCGTGGTCGGCGACCGCGCCTCGAGCCAGGCGGGCGTCTGGAGCCGGGGCGGCCGAGGGTGCGGGAGGGGACGATGGCGACGGTCGTGGCGGCTGTGGCGGCGGGGGCGAAGGCGTGGGAGGGCGCGGGAGAGGGGAGACGGCGCTGGGCTGCGTCCGCTCGTGGAGCAGACGATTCCGAGCGGCGGGAATCTCCGAGCCGTGGGAGTCGGCCGCCTACATTGTCGCGCACGTGCTTGGGGCTAAGACGGTGAGGCTGGCGCCGCTCGCGGTCGGTCCCAGGGGTGGGCCTGCCTTAGACGACTTTCCTCACGGGAAAATGTATTAGCTTTTCACTTTGGTTCATGTTTGTGTGCAGTGTTTTCGATTTTTCCTGTAACGCGCGTGTTTTTGCCCTGATTTCTAATTGTTTTTTTTTCTCTTCTTGCGCTTGTTGAAATTTAACTTCATTATACTGTTGTGTTTTATTTGATTTGATTTATTTTGTATTTTCTGGTGACCCTGGTCACTCTTGCAAACGAGACTATCGTGGTCGCGAGAGTTCTCCCCTGAGTAAGCAGACAAATCGGAAATTGAAACGAATGCCGCCGACTTACCACGCTTTCGTGGAAAGGGAGACCCAGTCGGTCAAAACCGGTGCGGATTTGGCATAAACAGATGCTGCTGGATGGTATTGCTCTATTTGTTCGGGAGACACATAACTGGGGGGGGGGGGGTGGTTCTGTTTCACAGCACTGCGCCGTGTTTGGCCAATAAAACCCGAGGGACGTTGAGATTTTTGACGCGGGGCGTGTGACTCGTCACGCAGATCGCGAGCCTGGGCAGGGCCGTGCTGACTCGGCCGATCACCGCGGAGGCGCAAGCGAAGGTCCGGGAGCTCTGCTGTCGACGTCTCATGAGGTAGCACAGCCACCAACGGCCACAGCAGCTGTAGCAGCTGTATTAGCAGCTGTAGCAGCTGTATTAGCAGCAGTAACAGCTGTATTGGCAGCAGTAACAGCTGTATTGGCAGCAGTAACAGCTGTATTAGCAGCAGTAACAGCTGTATTAGCAGCTGTAGCAGCTGTATTAGCAGAAGTAACAGCTGTATTGGCAGCAGTAACAGCTGTATTGGCAGCAGTAACAGCTGTATTAGCAGCAGTAACAGCTGTATTAGCAGCAGTAACAGCTGTATCAGCAGCAGCAGTAGCAGCTGTATTAGCAGCAGTAAGAGCTGTATTAGCAGCAGTAGCAGCTGTATTAGCAGAAGTAATAGCTGTATTAGCAGCAGTAGCAGCTGTATTAGCAGCAGTAACAGCTGTATTAGCAGCAGTAGCAGCTGTATTAGCAGCTGTAACAGCTGTATTAGCAGCAGTAACAGCTGTATTAGCAGCAGTAACAGCTGTATTAGCAGCAGTAACAGCTGTATTAGCAGCAGTAATAGCTGTATTAGCAGTAACAGCTGTATTAGCAGCAGTAACAGCTGTATTAGCAGCAGTAGCAGCTTTATTAGCAGCAGTAACAGCTGTATTAGCAGCAGTAACAGCTGTATTAGCAGCAGTAACAGCTGTATTAGCAGCAGTAACAGCTGTATTGGCAGCAGTAACAGCTGTATTAGCAGCAGTAACAGCTGTATTAACAGCAGTAGCAGCTGTATTAGCAGCAGTAACAGCTGTATCAGCAGCAGTAGCAGCTGTATTAGCAGCAGTAACAGCTGTATTAGCAGCAGTAGCAGCTGTATTAGCAGCAGTAATAGCTGTATTAGCAGCAGTAGCAGCTGTATTAGCAGCAGTAACAGCTGTATTGGCAGCAGTAATAGCTGTATTGGCAGCAGTAACAGCTGTATTCGCAGCAGTAACAGCTGTATTAACAGCAGTAGCAGCTGTATTAGCAGCAGTAACAGCTGTATCAGCAGCAGTAGCAGCTGTATTAGCAGCAGTAACAGCTGTATTAGCAGCAGTAGCAGCTGTATTAGCAGCAGTAATAGCTGTATTAGCAGCAGTAGCAGCTGTATTAGCAGCAGTAACAGCTGTATTAGCAGCAGTAGCAGCTGTATTAGCAGCTGTAACAGCTGTATTAGCAGCAGTAACAGCTGTATTAGCAGCAGTAACAGCTGTATTAGCAGCAGTAACAGCTGTATTAGCAGCAGTAGCAGCTGTATTGGCAGCAGTATCAGCTGTATTATCATCAGTAACAGCTGTATTAGCAGCAGTAGCAGCTGTATTAGCAGCTGTAACAGCTGCATTAGCAGCAGTAACAGCTGCATTAGCAGCAGTATCAGCTGTATTAGCAGCAGTAACAGCTGTATTAGCAGTAACAGCTGTATTAGCAGCAGTAACAGCTGTATTAGCAGCAGTAGCAGCTGTATTAGCAGCTGTAACAGCTGTATTAGCAGCAGTAACAGCTGTATTAGCAGCAGTAACAGCTGTATTAGCAGCAGTAGCAGCTGTATTGGCAGCAGTATCAGCTGTATTATCATCAGTAACAGCTGTATTAGCAGCAGTAGCAGCTGTATTAGCAGCTGTAACAGCTGCATTAGCAGCAGTAACAGCTGCATTAGCAGCAGTATCAGCTGTATTAGCAGCAGTAACAGCTGTATTAGCAGTAACAGCTGTATTAGCAGCAGTAACAGCTGTGTTAGCAGCAGTAGCAGCTGTATTAGCAGCAGTAACAGCTGTATTAGCAGCAGTAACAGCTGTATTAGCAGCAGTAGCAGCTGTATTAGAAGTATCAGCTGTATTAGCAGCAGTAACAGCTGTATTAGCAGTATCAGCTGTATTAGCAGCAGTAACAGCTGTATTAGCAGCAGTAACCGCTGTATTAGCAGCAGTAGCAGCTGTATTAGCAGCAGTAACAGCTGTATTAGCAGCTTTTACAGCTGTATTAGCAGCAGCAGTATCAGCTGTATTAGCAGCAGTAACAGCTGTATTAGCAGCAGTAGCAGCTGTATTAGCAGCAGTATCAGCTATATTAGCAGCAGTAACAGCTGTATTAGCAGCAGTAACAGCTGTATTAGCAGCAGTAGCAGCTATATTAGCAGCAGTAACAGCTGTATTAGCAGCAGTAACAGCTGCATTAGCAGCAGTAACAGCTGTATTAGCAGTAGCAGCTGTATTAGCAGCAGTAACAGCTGTATTAGCAGCAGTAGCAGCTGTATTGGCAGCAGTAACAGCTGTATTAGCAGCAGTAACAGCTGTATTAGCAGTAACAGCTGTATTAGCAGTAACAGCTGTATTAGCAGCAGTAACAGCTATATTAGCAACAGTAACAGCTGTATTAGCAATAACAGTTGTATTAGCAGCAGTAACAGCGGTATTTGCAGCAGTAACAGCTATATTAGCAGCAGTAATAGCTGTATTAGCAGTAACAGCTATATTAGCAGCAGTAGCAGCTGTATTAGCAGCAGTAACAGCTGTATTAGCAGCAGTAACAGCTATATTGGCAGCAGTAACAGCTGTATTAGCAGCAGTAACAGCTGTATTAGCAGCAGTAACAGCTGTATTAGCAGCAGTAACAGCTGTATTAGCAGCAGCTGTATTAGCAACAGTATCAGCTATATTAGCAGTATCAGCTGCATTGTCAGCAGTATCAGCTGCATTGTCAGCAGTAACAGCTGCATTGTCAGCAGTAACAGCTGCATTGTCAGCAGTAACAGCTGTATTAGCAACAGTATCAGCTGTATTAGCAGTAACAGCTGCATTGTCAGCAGTAACAGCTGTATTAGCAGCAGCTGTATTAGCAGTAACAGCTGTATTAGCAGTATCAGCTGTATTAGCAGCAGCTGTATTAGCAGTAACAGCTGTATTAGCAGTAACAGCTGTATTAGCTGCAGTAACAGATGTATTAGCAGGAGTAACAGTTGTATTAACAGCAGCTGTATTAGCAGCAGTAACAGCTGCATTGTCAGCAGTAACAGCTGTATTAGCAGCAGCTGTATTAGCAGTAACAGCTGTATTAGCAGCAGCTGTATTAGCAGTAACAGCTGTACTAGCAGTAACAGCTGTATTAGCAGTAACAGCTGTATTAGCAGTAACAGCTGTATTCGCAGCAGCTGTATTCGCAGCTGAAGTAGTATCCTCAGCTGTAATGGCAGTAGAAGTAGCAGCAGTAGCATTAGCAGCACCCACAACAGTAGCAGCCCAGGACAAGTGCGCTGATCTCACTGATGTTAACCTTGGCCAGGATTCAAAGTCAGGTGACCGGCTTCTTAGTGCAGTGCACTCACCACTCTACCACCACCACCACCTTCCCAGACGATTCAAAATCACAGTAACATTGTCTTCCTTTGATGTCATGAGCATGGAGCAGCAGTTTTCATCTCGTGTTCACAGCCCTGAGCATAGTGGTGGAAAAATAAATATATATCTATATTCCTCTGGCAGGAGCGAGTACACGCTTAGGATGATTACCATTGAATTCCCATGAAGTGGGCGCTGATTTATAACAATGCTGGAAGGATCAAATGGTGGGGTAAACCCCCCAACTGGAATTATCCCGCCCAGGCTTTCTGATTGCGCTGCAGTGGTAATAACTGTGAGGTGCACTCTGTGCATTGCGAAGGGAGATTAACAATTACGTAAAAGCTGCATGTTTGCGTGACATGTAAAATGGTTATTGGGAACTTTGGACCGAGCGTTATTTAACAAAAAAAAGCATTAAAGTCCCCGGCAAGCTCCATCCATTATCATCATCGCCGTCATGCATTGGGATTTCATATCGATCCGTTCTCAGCAGCTACCACCTGCAAGGCACACGACTAGAGAGTGGTGACTCTTTGTGCTGCATTAGGAATGGAACACGTCCGAGAGGACGTCCAACCGTGCCAGTGCACAAAGATCCTCCGTGTAGCCTTTAGACTGTTGGGGCAATCGCTATTAGCGAATAGCACCAATGAAGGCCGGCACGGCACACAAGGGAGTGGGTGGCCAGCACCACGCCCGAACGCCTTCATATCTTCAGTGCTGATGTTTTTACGCACTGCACCGCGTACTCATTTAACCTGAGTCGACGTCGGGGAGCCCCAGGACCGGTTCAGATAATTGTCACTGGCGTTGGCCATGAGCTAAACTCGAACTCAGGTTGTCAGGTTCGTAACACTGCACTAACCGCTACATTACTGCTCTCACACGCGCACGCACACACAATACAATACAACGATCCCCCGAATATCCTTAACGGACTGGAGAGGCAAGTGCTGTAATAGCGAGCACCTATGAAGGTTGGCACGGCACACGAGGGGGTGGGTGGCCAGCACCACGCCCGACCGCTTTTATCTCCCCAGTGGCGATGTTTACACACCGCACCAGGTACTCATTTTGAGGCTGAGTCGACCTGGAGGAGGTCCAGGACCGGTTCAGATAATCGTCACTGGTGTTGGACATGAGCTGGAATCGAACTCGGGTCGCTGGGTTTGTAGCGCAGCGCGGCGCTAACCGTTGCACTACCGCTCCCCACACACACAGACCCACACACGATTGCTCACGATAGGATATGTTTTTCAATAACTTAAAATAGTTTCTAGCATAGAAATAGCACATGCCACATATATACGGTAGAGCAAAAATAACCAGAAGTAAACACCATCTGTAGACACCAGGCGAACTGTGTGCATATTAAAGTCGGTGCCAGCACTTGTACAATGATTAATTTGCATTGTGTTTACGTGGGCCTCACGGTGAAACTTTAACAACCTTGGGGTTTAGGCACTTGGGTGATGGGGGAGACAGGCCCAGGGGAAGGTTGCCATACTTCACCACGCCGGTCAGTGCCGGTTGGTGCAGGGAACTACGTTCTGTCCCACCTCTCGCAAAGGAAAAATTATACAATTTGCAATCCCCAGAATAATTGACGGATACAAATGATTGTGGCAGAAGGCGCGGAGCCAAACTCGGTGTTGCTCGAAAGGCAGGCGAAAGAGGTCAGGCCTTTAATGCATGTGGTATGTATGTTGAACTTCTTTCGCACCGTACGTAGCCAACCGTGCTAATCGGAGGTGCGGGGGAAGGACAACAGACTGAACACACAAAGCAGTTCTAAAAAAAAATCGGTGTCCCTTAAAAGTACGTGGAGATGGAATGCGGGGGGGGGGGAGCACAAAGAAACGACGTCTTGCCGTGATGGTCCTGGTCCCTGGTGTGGAGAGGAGGAGGTTTTGAGTTGCCCTGGGAAGGGAGTTCCACCGTGAGCTGTCGTGCAGGCTGATGGGAGGGAAGAGAGATACGGGAGCTGCCACGGGAGAAGCAGTACCCAGCTGTGACGGTCCTGGTGCCCTGTGTAGGGACGCGTTTGTGAGTCGCATTGGGACGGGTTTGTGAGTCGCATTGGGACGGGTTTGTGAGTCGCATTGGGACGGGTTTGTGAGTCGCATTGAGACGAGTTTGTGAGTCGCATTGGGACGGGTTTGTGAGGGTTTGTGAGTCGCATTGGGACGGGTTTGTGAATCACATTGGGACGAGTTTGTGAGTCGCATTGGGACGGGTTTGTGAGTCGCATTGGGACGGGTTTGTGAGTCGCATTGGGACGAGTTTGTGAGTCTCATTGGGACGGGTTTGTGAGTCACATTGGGACGGGTTTGTGAGGGTTTGTGAGTCGCATTGGGACGGGTTTGTGAGTCGCATTGGGACGGGTTTGTGAGGGTTTGTGAGTCGCATTGGGACGGGTTTGTGAGTCGCATTGGGACGGGTTTGTGAGTCGCATTGGGAAGAGTTTGTGAGTCGCATTGGGACGGGTTTGTGAGTCGCATTGGGACGAGTTTGTGAGTCGCATTGCGACGAGTTTGTGAGGGTTTGTGAGTCACATTGGGACGGGTTTGTGAGTCGCATTGGGACGGGTTTGTGAGTCGCATTGGGAGGAGTTTGTGAGGGTTTGTGAGTCGCATTGGGACGAGTTTGTGAGTCACATTGGGACGGGTTTGTGAGAGTTTGTGAGTCGCATTGGGACGGGTTTGTGAGGGTTTGTGAGTCGCATTGGGACGGGTTTGTGAGTCGCATTGCTGCTCCGTAGAATTGGCACCCGTGAGCTACAATGAGTACCTGGTACGGTGTCAGAATGCGGCCAGGTGTGGTGCTGGCCACCCCCACGCCATCGTGTGCCATGCCAGCCTTCATAGGTACTCGCTAACAGCCTTCATAGGTACTCGCTAACAGCCTTCATAGGTACTCGCTAACAGCCTTCATAGGTACTCGCTAACAGCCTTCATAGGTACTCGCTAACAGCCTTCATAGGTACTCGCTAACAGCCTTCATAGGTACTCGCTAACAGCCTTCATAGGTACTCGCTAACAGCCTTCATAGGTACTCGCTAACAGCCTTCATAGGTACTCGCTAACAGCCTTCATAGGTACTCGCTAACAGCCTTCATAGGTACTCGCTAACAGCCTTCATAGGTACTCGCTAACAGCCTTCATAGGTACTCTCTAACAGCCTTCATAGGTACTCGCTAACAGCCTTCATAGGTACTCGCTAACAGCCTTCATAGGTACTCGCTAACAGCCTTCATAGGTACTCGCTAACAGCCTTCATAGGTACTCGCTAACAGCCTTCATAGGTACTCGCTAACAGCCTTCATAGGTACTCGCTAACAGCCTTCATAGGTACTCGCTAACAGCCTTCATAGGTACTCGCTAACAGCCTTCATAGGTACTCGCTAACAGCCTTCATAGGTACTCGCTAACAGCCTTCATAGGTACTCGCTAACAGCCTTCATAGGTACTCGCTAACAGCCTTCATAGGTACTCGCTAACAGCCTTCATAGGTACTCGCTAACAGCCTTCATAGGTACTCGCTAACAGCCTTCATAGGTACTCGCTAACAGCCTTCATAGTTACTCGCTAACAGCCTTCATAGGTACTCGCTAACAGCCTTCATAGGTACTCGCTAACAGCCTTCATAGGTACTCGCTAACAGCCTTCATAGGTACTCGCTAACAGCCTTCATAGGTACTCGCTAACAGCCTTCATAGGTACTCGCTAACAGCCTTCATAGGTACTCGCTAACAGCCTTCATAGGTACTCGCTAACAGCCTTCATAGGTACTCGCTAACAGCCTTCATAGCTACTCGCTAACAGTCTGTTGAGGTTCTGGGGGGGTGGCCTTTGTCTTCGTACTGCCTGTCTGGGTATTGTATTCTGTATCCTGCTACTGAGCCTTTAACACTTCATGGGACCTCGTGCACCTAGCCTGACACAAGCGCTGTGGTGAAGTCACCACCACTTAGTGGCAAAATGGCAGCTATTGTTGCTGCATCCTGTGTGTGTATTCCGTTCATGTCCGTGTCAGCTCGTGTATTCCGTGTGTATTTAATAGGTGCTCACGAACAGCACTTGCCCCCAACACCTTCATCTTTGTTAACATGCGCTCTGTGTATGTATGTGTGAATGTACGTGTATTTTTGTATGTGTGTCTGTGCACGTCTGTTGAGGAGCAGGAGTGCAACTGTTAGTGCGCTGCGCTATGAACCCGGCGACCCAAGTTCGATTCCCACTGACAGTCAACACCGGTGACGATTCTCTGAACCGGTCCTGGTCCTCGACATCTCCTAGATCGACTCGCCCTCAAATTAGTACCTGGTGCGGTGTGTAAAATCATCGCCGTTGGGGAGACAACGACGGCCGGGCGTGGTGCTGGCCACCCACTCCTTCTTGCGCCGTGCCGGCCTTCATACGTGCTTGCGAACAGTGCTTGCCCCAACAGTCTATTAGGACTGTACGGGGAACCTTTGCATTTGCCTGTGTGCATGCATTTGAGTGTCTACACATCCTCCGTGTGCATTGCGAGTCGATGTGTGCGCGTCCGCGTAGCGAGCAATTATTAAGTCCCGCTATACTGGCACTCGCTGGAAACACTTTCACCAACAGTCCGTTATCGGCTCTACGGTGAGCTTCCGGTTTCGCACAGTGTCCAACGTTTCGCTCCGCGCGTTAGCGCGAGCATCTGCGGGCACCGGATTCCGAATGTGTTCGTTGTCTCTTTTGTGTGTGCCCGTCTGTGCGCCCCAGCATGCCTGTGCAGTACGTGATCGGCCAGTGGGACTTCATGGATCTCACCCTCAAGATGAGGCCGCCAGTCCTCATCCCAAGGCCGGAGACAGAGGTGAGTCCGGCCGCACCCAGCGAGCTAACGAGCGACAGTGTTTGTTTTATTTTACCAGGTGAGGCCCACTGAGCTCTATAAACTCTTTTCCAGACGAAGTGGAAATGTCCGTGTGTATGTTGAACGTCTTGGCTAACCGTGCTCATCGGAGGTGCGAAACACTCCTCCTTCCGACATTGAAAAGCCACTGGAGCGATGCACGTTTAAATCTAGAGCGAAAACTAATTTACTTTTGACCTGCTCTCTATGTATGTGCTATGCAGAAGGGCCATTTCCTGAAACGTCGTCACCTGTCATATATATTTCCTTTTAAGGCCACACTGTTATTGTTGACGAACGTGTTGAGTGTCTATTGTTTGTTATTTATGCTTGTCCACCACCTGATACTTTGTGTATTTAAAAGGGAGATTAAAAATTAACGTGATTTTTCTTTCATCTTAACTCGGGGTGTTGGATATTTTGTCTTCACTATTTTGACGTGTGCGTGAACACCTAACTCGCCAACAAATATCGTATCAGTGTTTTAGGGTTTGTGTCTTTTTTTTTAAAGCGGGTGGGGGTTGTGTGCCATAAATAGAACAAATTAGATGTTTGTTTTGTGCAGAGGAAGTTTGGTCCTGTGGAAGCCTGACTTGTTTGCTGTGTAATTACCATGTGAATTAGCTCCTAATCACCTGGTGAGGGGTGGGGTGGTTGTGGGTGGTGGTGGGGGGAGGGCTAAGACAATGGTAAAAGGATGGGGGGGGGGCATCTTTAGCGAGTCACGCTCCCGGCTGCCGGCTCGGGATATAAAGAAGGCCCACGTACAGCACTCAACCCACTTCTCAGGCACAATGGGACCAGCGTTTCAGGCAGTCAGACTCTGAGAAGCAGCGCACCAGCTGTGCACGTTTTCATGTTTAGTTGGCCTACACACGCATGCGTGTACGTTCGACTCTTTGGTCATTGCAGCTTGACAAAAACAACGAAATTGGAAGGAATAAGAAAACGAAATCCACACGGACGTGGACGCAGTACCCGCTACACACCCCGTCGATGTTTTTTAAAAAGTATATAGTGACAATGGCCTCCAGCCTGGCTCGGGGAGCCCCCAACGCTGCCCCCCACGGTGCTGCCGCCCGCAGCGGAGAGAGCGGCGGCGGCGGCGGCGGCGAGGACTGTGAGATCTGCTGCGTCGCGTACGACGCGGCGCTCAACCCGCGGCGCGACCTCCTGTGCGGCCACGCGCTCTGCGGCGAGTGCCTGCGCCGGATCGGCTCGCTCGCCTCCTCGGCCGCCGTCAGCTGCCCCTTCTGCCGCCGGGCGCCGGCGCTCGCGAGCGCCGGCGATGACGCGGCGGCGGCGGTCATGCCCTCGCTGGCCTCGCTCGTCCGCCCCTTCAGCGTCGCCATCGTGGCCCCGCCCGGCTCGGCCGCGGCCTCGGACGCCGCACCGCGCTCGTCCCCTTCTCCTCGGCCGTGCCGAGGGTCGCCGGGCCCCGCGCCGCCACGCCACGGAGAGGCGTTTCTCGTCGCCGTCACGGCGCCCTGGCCCTGGCTGGGCGGAATCGGCGCCGACGGAATCGTCGGAGCGGCCGGCGAGCGAGACGTAGCGCCGGCGGTGCCCGTCGAAGCCTGCGCGTGCGGGACGTGCGCCGACGACGCCGCTGAAAGCCCGCAAGAGGACGGCGCCAGCAGGCGCCGCTCGCTCCGGACCTTCTCCACGCTGCACCTGCTCTTCGCCGTCTCCATCCTGGTCATGTGCCTCCTGGGCTTCGTCATGGTCGTCCTGCAGCGGCACGTCAGCATCGGCGTCTTCCTCATCGTCATGTCGCTGCTCGTGCTCGTCTTCTTCGCCTACGTGTGCCTCAGCAGCGACATTCTCAGGGCCGCGTTTTGCACCGGCAAAGTGAACGAGGCAGCGCAGGAGCGGCGGGAGCCCGCGGCGCCGTGACGGGGGATATCGCGTCCCCGATTGCCGGTGGTGTTTTTTTGGGGAACTATGGAACGGTAAAATGCCCACGCGCATCATTTTTAGTTGTTTGTTTTCCGGTGGAGATTCGGTTGTTTTATTTTTTTATGGACTTTTAAATGCAACGAAGCATCCTTAGGCCGGGTACCGAGTGTCCGCAGAGTCGGCGTCCGTCAACGTTTTGTTGCGCTCAGCTGGCGAGGTCGGTGTTTACGCCACGTTTTTGTAAAACTTTACGATGCCCGCTTACGCCGAGTTTTAATTTTGCCGCGGTGGCGGTTCGGCCCGGGGAGTGTATGGACAGTAATCGTCCTTAGACCAGAAACCAAGATTGTGCCGAGACAGCGTCTGGTGAAGATGTTGCCGCTGACATTATTTTTCTTCGTCGGTTGATTCTGGCGCGCGCCAGTAACTCGAGGTATTGCAGGTCGCCGATGTAATTGCATTTGCCCCACGTTACCAGCTAAATGTTTACAAAACCCTGGTGCCTTTTTTTCCCCAATGTTGTTTGTTGCAAACTGATAATGTATTGCCATTGTGTAGTTAGATTGAAATAAAACCACAAACACTGAGCTCTTGTTTAAAAAGCAGGGGCTGTGTGTGTTTACGAGCTATGCGTGTGCACGGTTTTGAATTCGCCAAGACTGGCAGCGTTTTCATTTTGTGTGTACTCGAAATACATTTTCACCGTACATGATATATATCCGTTCAATAATTCATCGTGAGGAGGCGTGGAAGGACAGCATTTTCGCATGGAGAGTTCTGCGCATTGTTTTATTAAGATACCTCTATTTTTATTTTAAAGGAGGCCCGATGGCTTAGAGGACAGAGTGGCATGCTGGCACCACTCAGATCCTGGCTTTGAACCCAGGCATGTTAGTAAGGTTCCAACCTAGTCACTAATGATTATAATAAAAACAATCATTTAAAAACAAATGTCGCACGTGTTTTTTTGGGCACATTCCAGCTTTGAGAACTAAACGTTGATTTATGAGCCATGCGACAAAGTAGCGGTCAGTTAAATTGATCTCGGGTTTAAAGTAAATAACAAAATTTACGTTCCCAGATCTCTGGTTATCTGCACAAGTGGTGTTTATTCAAGCCATAGTTATTTGGGAAAATGTGCAGGGTGTGTAAAAAAATATGTATATACAGGTAGTCCCCGACTTACGATGGTCCGACTTACGATATATCGATCTTACGATGGCGATAGCGATATGACAATTGTAAAATATTTTTTATTTCGCGCGGCAGGCAAACGCAGCAGCGTACGAGGTACGATACTGTAACTTTATCATCGCCATCCTCCTCTTCCGACAACTAAGTTAATGTAGCCATCAACAACCTAACATCGTTCAAGTATGCAAACAACGGACAGAATCTTGGTGAGTACAGTAGAATATGATACGTACCGATACGTTCAGTGCATGTATGATACGTAGCTTTAGCGATTTCATTTTAGGGTTATCACGATACGATACATACGTTCAAAGAATGTTAAAAGTTTTTTTTTATAGCAGATAGGATTGTTTCCTGAAAAAAACTTTCTATGAAAATGCAGTTCATATAGGTAGGCTAAGAATTTACCTTGTTTTTTTACTTTACATTTTACCGTGCAACACAGTATTGTAATTAATAAATACATACAGTATATAGTTTATACAGTACGGTACTGTAAATTGCTCTATTTTGCTAAATTATCACCATTCTTCAAGACTCCTGGGTAGGCTAGGCCAGCTTCGACTTACGATGGGGTCGTAACGAATCTCTATCGTAAGTCGGGGACTACCTGTATTGACTTCGCTTTTAAAAAAATGCACCTACTCACAAGAATCATAAAAATGTATATGGCCGGTATATATTTTATTAAGGACAACAGTCACTTGGTCACAAGTTGCAATAATCCACCCGTGGTGTATATTTCAATGACTAAACGTGGGGGTAAAAGGCGAGGCGGGGGCGTGGGGGGGGTGGTTATAGACTACATATATCCCATTTTTATTTTACATAACGGCATTTATTTTTCACCTTTAGATTGCACAGAAAGCAGAGGCACGGCTCCGTTAATCAGAAATGCCGATGTGATGGAAGTGCGGTGCGTCGTGACGCACCGCCCGGGGAAGCGGAGGTGCAGCGATTAGCGCTTTGCGCCACCAACCTGGAAACCCGAGTTCGATTCCCAGTCGTGCAGCTATCTGAACCGCTCCTGGGCCTCCCCTCTGGGTCGACTCAGCCTAAAGTGTGTCGCTTGCACGGGGGTTGCAGTAACGTCGTCAGCGTTGTTTGTAGAGAGAGAGTTGGGACCGGTTGGTGCTGCCTACGCCGCCCTCGACCGCGTGCATCGTGGCAGCCTTAACAATGGGTTCTCGCCAACAGATATTGTGTTGTAAATCTGTGCGCGCGCGCCCACGTGTGCTGTGAACCCCTGTGACCTGATTTAGTTTCATTCACGGCTAATGTCGTGGCAAGCTGTTTCAGGAATGATCCTGGGTCGCTCCTACAGGGTTTCTCGTCCTTAATTGAGTGGCTGGCGTGATGCGTAAACATCAGCACTGGGGAGACGAAGGTGGTCTGCCGCGCGCGACACTGGACCACAACACCCCCTCGTGTGCTGCTGTTACCCACCTTAATAGGCGCTTGCTAACAGCGCTTGCCATGCCAGCCTTTGTAAGCTGTTTTGGGTCAGTCATTGCGTGGTTTCTAAGCGCGCTTCCTCTCTTGGCGGTTGGTTGAGTGTGAACAAAAAAACGCAACGCGTTCGTCATTTTGTGGAGGCGACGTTTCAGGCAACGGGCCTTTTAATAGCGCACGAGTTTTACATTTTAGGTTGGCTGCGTTTTCTCTCTCCGCTCTAAAGAAGAGCCGTGGCACGAAACGTCGCCTATATTATATATATAAATGAGCAATTCTCTCTTTAGGGCATCATTATTGACGGGCCCGCTAAGCGCCCAGCGCACTCGCTGCCAGCGCAGAGATCGCGAGATGCTTTCGGTCTTAAATGGGAAGAGTCGAAGTCGGGAGGGCCATCGATGCCGGCCGACAGCCCTGGG